GCCTTGATGAATCAATCTTCGAGAATCCACAATCAACCGTACTTCTGGCTTGAGAGATTCTGAACCCTAATCGAGGCATGACGCCTGATGCTCTTGATTCAGATCTGTTCCCTGCAAATGAAATCAAAGAAACAAAAAACACACACTTCGTGCTTGATTAGAAGTTAATGATACATAGGCTAAGAATGTTCAAAATATTTGACAATTTCTACATAGTCAAAGCTCAAAGGTGAGACGTTAAAACCGACCGTATTTCGTGACCTTGACTTATCTTGAAAAAATGCAAAAAATAAAAATGGGATCTTAGGTCAAAAATTGGGGTACAACAGCGCCTAGGTTTAGAGATGTCACCACGGTGTCTGGAAGAACCGTGGTGAACTAGGCGTTGTTGTTTGCACGTTTTGTAGTAGTGTCATGATACTTCAATAACGTTAATACACCACTGACCTAAGTTTATACATTAAATCTCTATAAGCAAAGTATAACTTATGTGGTATACAATCAATGCAAAAATGCAACGATGCAATAGCATAGTAATGAATACTAGAAAAGTAAAAGAGGTAAGGGAAGAAGAAAACATACACAATGATATATAGTGGCTCGACTGTTGTTCTCATATTTCCTACTCCACTCTTCTATGGTGTTAAAATGATTGAAAAATAATCACGATCTTCCACTATTTTGACAAGTTTGATTATAAATTTTTTATTACAATGAACTATCATATGATAATTCTCCATGTTGACGCAGACAATAAAAATAGCCATAATCTGGTTATAAAATCCAGACTTTCTTGGGTTCGAACCTCAGTGCCCTCACATATATTCTTCATTTAACTTTAAGGTGCGTCTTTTCTATTTTCTTATTTATTTTTATATCACCACGGTTGGTAACGTAAACGGATGTGAGTATATTTATATATAAGCAAATTAACTCTTGTCCTTTCATAATAACGTTGTATCTTTCACAGCAAAACCCTAGAACCCATTTTTTATTCTTCTTATTTACCATTAGCATTCCTATTCTACAGTATAACTGTCAATCTTGTTCTTCTTACATAAAGGTATTCTTATTTTTCCTTATTCTCTCATTTTCGTGTATGTTGTTGTTATGTTTCACATAGTTTTCCTATTAATTTCTTCTTGTTAGTTGGTTTACGATTCTTTTATTGTTGTATGTTGTTCTATGTTATTGTTGTATGTTATCTTGTTGACAAATAAGTTTGTAGTTTCACATGTTGATAATTTTCATGGTGTTTGTAGGACTCCATAAAAGTGAATGAAAAAATAACAACATCAATAAACTTCATCTAGTTTGAGAATCTATGAAAATAAATATAAGAAGTATGAAGCTATTGTGTTTCACCCACCTTATATTTATTTTTCATGACTTCACAAACTAGATGAACCTCATATGGTGATGATGTTGGTGGTAGAAAACGTATAATATGAGTTGATAAGGTACATATGGTTTGTGTAGTAATGGAAAAAATACAAGAAGTATGAAGTCATTCTGGAAACTTCATCCACCTTATATTTCTTTTTCATTGCTTCACAAACTAGATGAATCTCATAGTTTCACGATTATTTTCAATAAAAGGTGTGCGTTCTATAAACAACTTAATATATTTTGTGATATTGTATGTTGTTAGTGTTTTATGGATAAAATATATGTTTTTGTTTATTGTGTTACATGTATTTGTTGTGTTGTTGTATGATGTTTTTGTTGACAAATGTTCTCAAAACCAAAACAAAACATTGATAACTGATAAGAAAAAGGCTTATTGTAACTTATCAATGTTTTGTTCTTTAAATTCTTATACAGGTTGATAGAAGATGAAGTTTAGTTTATTATAAACTATGTATATTGTTTATTTCACTAACCTTTTAATGAAAATAAAATCATTTAAATTAACATTGAAACTTATAATCTGTAAATTAAGATTTATTTGAAAACTAACCTATATCAATCAATGTTTTCCTAATTGTATGCGTCTCATTCTGCACATTTTATATTCTTTAACCCATAATATGTGGTTCAATGGTCGGTTTACTACAATAAATCAATATCTATTATTCTACTTTACCTCGTTGTCGTCGTTTATCATTGTGATTGTTAAGATCATGATTGTTATGATGATTAGTCATCATAACAATCACGATGATAAGCGACGGTGATGAGTTAAACAATAATAAAATATATTGATGCATTGAAGGAATCCAATTATAGAATCATATACGTGTTAAAGAACATAAAATATGCATGATGAGATGAATGCAATTCAGAATACAGTGGTGTGTTTAAGTTGGCTTTTAAGAATAATTTAATTTTTAGATTATATAGTTCTTTATCAAATTTAATGGTTGTATTTCTTTATTGAGGTGTATAGTAAAACAGGTAATATACATTGGTATATAATAAAGGTATCTTCCACAACGGTTTTCTATTTTAACCGTGATTTAATATAATTTATTTGCTGCTGCTGGGGTTCGAACACTACATATCACAATGGCGGATAAGAATAACCATTTTGATATCATGTGCGCTTTCCGGTATACTACAACGGTCTCAGGACCGTGATTGTTAGTAACAAATTTACAATAATACTCTACACAAAAATGTCTAAACCAATTTGATTATATGTATGTTTCAACAATTCTTAAATGAGTTTTTCACAGTAGTGCGACTTCAATTGTGTCTTGTTAGAATTTATGAGCTACATGTTTTGAAATATTTTTGTTAAAAATGTACTTGAATAGTCTTGAGATTGACTTGCATTCTAATAAATAAAATGCATATAGGACATCATGCATCATTTTATATGGATTGATTCACGGAGATGCTTCAAAGCTCTCCTATTTTGTGTTTTGCATATGCGCCTCTTAAAATCTCTAATTTCGTATTTGGGACCTAATTTTTTTTGAAAATGTCTATTTGGAAATGGTCTACTCACCTCCTCCCCTTATAGACCTATCATTGTCCATATTTTCACCCAACAAGTGGACTCTGAAACAGTCAGCATCAATGAGGCACTCAAGAAAAAAGTGTAGATGAAGGCCATGAAGGAAGAACTTAAGGCAATGGAAGAAAACAAGGAATTGAATAAACTATCAAAGAACAACAAGCCATAAGTGTGAGATGAGTTTTCAAGATAAAGTTAAATCCAGATGGGTCAATTTCCAAGCATAAAGCAATGTTATTAGCTAGAGGACTTCTACAAAAATATTGTTTAGGTTACTTTGAAGTGTTTGCACCTGTGGCTAGACATGAAACAATAAGGTTGGTGATTTCCATAGCTGCAAATAAGAATTGGTCTCTACTATATTTAGATGTAAAATCAGCCTTTCTAAATGGTCAATTGCAAGAAGAATTTTACGTATTATAACCTCCTAAATTTGGGGTAATGAATAAATTAAGGATGTTGTACAAGCTACATAAAGCCTTGTATGGACGTAAACAAGCTTCAAGGGCTTGAAAGCTAAAAATTGATTCATTTTTCAAGTATCAAGAATTCAAAAATGTGAAATAGAGTATGGTGTGTATGTGCAGCATACCTCTAATAGCAATATGATTTTGATGTGCCATTATGTCGATGACATATTGCTAACAGGAAGATGTATCACTAAAATAAACAAGTTCAAAAGGATGTTGACGAACGCATTTGATATGAATGACCTTGGAAACATGGTATATTTTTTAGGGATGAAGATTTTACACTCTGACAAGGGAATCATTGTGCACCAACTGAAGTATGAGTTTGAGTTGCTGAAGAGATTTGAGTTGATGAATTCTAAGTATGCAGTCACACCTGTAGAGACAAACCAAAAACTGGATTCGAATGTTGATAGTGAGGAAGTAAATACTATAACTTCAAACAATTGATTGACTTTCTGAGATATATGTGTAACACTAGGTCTGCTATATGTTATGTAATTAGAATTGTAAGCAGGTTTATGAGTAAACCAAAGTGGTCACATTACAAAGCTGCAGTCAGGATACTCAGGTATGTAAAGGAAACTCTGAGACATGACATTATGTTTCCATCTGGTTTGACAGGTGATGCTGAGCTTATATGCTATTCATACTCAGACTGGTGTGGAGACAGGGTAGACAAAAGAAACACCACAAAATAGTTGTTTATGTATCTAGGAGCTCCTATTTCATGGTACTCTAAGAAGAAACTAGTGGTTGAACCGTCAACCTGTGAGGCAGAGTACATAGCAGGTGCATTATTATTTGTTTGTCAGACTGTTTGGCTTATGAATTTGGTGCATGAACTGAAGTTCAAGGTGAGCAAATTAGTAAGGTTGATTATTGACAACAAATCAACCATAAGTATTGCCAAGAACTCAGTGCTACATGGAAGGAGCAAACACATTGACAGTTTTATTTTCTGCGCAATCAAGTTCAGAGTGAAGTGTTTGAAGTTGTTCACAGTATCACTCAGAAGCAATTTGTAGATGTGTTGACCAAAAAAATCAAGACTGGACATTTCATAGAATTAAGGGATGAAATAGAAGTTATTGATTTTTAATCTTTAATATGAATTAAGAGATGGTGTTAAATGTAATTAAGATTCAACTATTTTCCTTTCAGCTTTCATTTAGTTTTCATTTAAGTTTTAGTAGAAGTGTTTATAAACTGAAAATTCAATTAGGTGGAAACAGATGTATAATTTATTAAGTTGTGAAAAAATTAGTTATAATTAGCTACAAATTTCTTCACTCTCTCTATCTTTCATCTTTTTTCCTCTTTTGCATCTATAAAGTTTCACTGTTAACTCCAACAGGTATAACCGAAACAACACATGGTACAAATAACATGTTCAAGTAATAAGATTCATAGCTTCTTTCTTAATTTCTTGACAATTTATTTATAATCTAGTGTTGCTCATCATACAAGCTCACAAATTAAAGTGCACACACATGCACCTTTTAAACTTATTTCTATATTTAGCTAGTGCATGCATTCAGATAAAACATACATACATATAGACAAATTTAAGGGCAAAAGACAACCCTGTAATTGGTGGTTCCACCGGGGCAAGTGAATGTACTTGTAGCATCATCCTTTGGGTAACTATAAGCATCAGGGCACCTAGTCTTAAAATATCTTGAATAATCAGTAGCCCCACAGCTACCTGAATTACAACAGTAATTATCTGTTTTAAAAACCGTACATGGGTTGTTACAGCCACCTTGAGTTTGTAACTGAGCAGGACACTGTCCGGTGATATCAGCGGTGCACCTTATGCCACGGCATGCACTAGATGTTGGACTAAAATCCATAGGAACGTTGAATCCATCGACAAATGTCGAAAAAGTCCAAATTCATGTACTGGTTTAAAGCGTATTCTGCTAGTGTGTTTGGAGGTGTACCGTAAGCTTGGCAATTTAGGACACCACCGCAGTCACCGGTTTGGCAATGACCGTTGCCTGAGTTGTCGAAGTTGCATCCGGTTCGGGCCCATACACGGGCTTTTTGGGTGCCTGCAGATGCGGTGATGGTCCATGATTCGCCTGTGTTTAGAGGCTTACCACCGCCTGGTACGGCTGCGGCCCATACTTTGTAGGGGCAGTTGTTTTTGACCTCGACTGTTGCTGCTTGTGTGTATGTAAAGGTGCAGAGAGTGATGAGAGAAAATAGAAAGGAGGTTTTTATGAAGGAAGTCATTTTGGTTTGTGAGTTGAAAGTGGAAGTAGAGGTTTTTGGTTTATATAAGGGAAGGGAACGTTAATGAAACGGTGTAAAGTTGAAAATTCTAAATAGAAATGTGCCTATGGTCTTTACCAACTGCACGCTAACCAGGACTTTTCATCAGGCAGTATTCTACGCGCCATCTTTGATTATGTCATAGTTCTGGAAAATTTACAATGTTATTTACAGTTTTATCCCACTATGTAATTAATAATTAGTTTAAGATTTTAGTTAATATTTTGTTTCAGCTTGGACGAAAGGCTCAGAGACAGTTATGGTCCAAGCTAAATATAAAATTACTTGAAGACTGCAAGGGGCTGTCCGATGAAAGGAAGTCAGTTCTAACGTTAATTGATGAATGACGTATTACCAAAGGCTATGGTCCCAAAATGAAGGTTCTAGGAACTTAGTAATGCAAACCTGGACTTTATATCATAGTACTTAACTTCAAATAGAGTGTACTCAAAACTATTGAGTAAACTTTAATGTCATTAGTAATAAGTTTTCATATTAAATATGATGTAGGAAGATTAAGAATCAATGTAATTTGGAAGGACATAAGTTAGTAAGTTATGATAGTTTTTATTAGTAGCAGTTATCTTTTGGAATTGTAAAAGTCATTGACTCTATATAAGGACCAAAAGTGTATTTTATTTAACAAGCAATAAACAAAAGGTTTGTCTCTTTCTCAAAATAAATCACATAACGAAGTCTGCTTCTTTATATCAATTTGGCATCAGAGTTCATGGCAAACATGATGAATCAAATGCCATTGTCACGGCTAACGAAGTCAAATTATGAAAACTTGAGTATCCAAATGAAAGCTCTTATTGGATCTCTAGACGCGTGGGATGTGACCCATGAAGGGTTTGAAGAACCAACAGAAGCTAGGAGATATACGACAGCTCAAACGAAGGCGTTGAAAGAGACGCAATCGAAGGATAAAACAACATTATACATGTTGTTCAGGGCTGTAGATGAATCAGGCTTTGAAAAAATTGATGGTTCGACTACATCGAAACAAGCGTGGAACACATTAGAAAGAGTGTTCAATGAAGCAGATCGAGTGAAGCAAGTTCGACTCCAAACTCTTCGTGGCAAATTGGAGAGGATACAAATGAAGGATATAAAAATTGTATCTGACTACATCACACGTGTGCAAAAGGTGGTGAATCAACTCATCAGAAATGGAGAGACAGTAACTGATGCACGAGTTGTTGAAAAGATCTTAAGATCTTTAACAGAAAAGTTTGAGAATATTGTGTGTGCAATAGAAGAGTCGAAGGATCTTTCGACTCTCTCAGTCGAAGAGCTCGTTGGTTCTCTCGAAGCACATGAACAACGAAAGATGAAAAAGAAAGAAACAGTCGAAGAACCAAATCAAACCAAGGAATCGAACAAAGACGAAAATATACTTTTTTCTCAAAACTTTCGAGGAAGAGGACGTGGACGTGGAGGTCGTGACAGTGGTCGAAGTGGTAGAGGTAGCAACTTCGAAAGAGGACAATCGAGCCAACAAAATTGGCGTGGCAGAGGACGCGGTCAAAGAGGTGGTCGTTCGAATCATTCCAACTTCGAATGCTACAAGTGTGGGAAGTATGGTCATTACGCGAAGGATTGCAACTCCTACAAATGTTACAACTGTGACAAAGTGGGATATCTTGCAAAAGACTGTCGAATCGAAAAAAAGATTGAAGAAACAACCAACCTAGCCTTGGAAGCTGAATCGAATGAAGGCTTTCTCCCGATGGCTCAAAACGAAATCAACACCAATAATGACAATGTTTGGTATCTTGACTCAGGAGCAAGTAATCACATGTGTGGTTACAAACACCTGTTTAAAGATATGAAGATAATTGGAGATGGTAATGTGTCTTTTGGAGATGCATCGAAAGTGAAGGTCGAAGGAAAGGGCACAATCAGTTACTTGCAGAAGGATGGCTTGATTGGATCAATCGAAGACGTTTACTATGTACCAGATCTCAAGACCAACATATTGAGTCTGGGACAACTTACAGAAAAATGTGCTTCGATACTTATGAAAGATCGAACACTGCATTTGAAGGACAAAGTAGGACATCTGATTGCCCGTGTCGAAATGGAAAGAAATCGAATGTACAAACTGAACCTAAGGAACGTCCGAGAGAAATGTCTGCAAATCAAAGTGCAAGACAAAGCGTCACTATGGCATATGCGCTTTGGTCATCTACATCATGCTGGTTTGAGAAGGTTGGCGAAAAGGAACATGGTGCATGGACTACCAGACATGGATTTTGAAGGAAAGTTTTGTGAAAAATGTGTGCTCAGCAAACAAACAAGAACCTCATTTCAAAAGAAGGCAGAGTATCAAGCTAAACATATTCTCGAATTGATACATATTGACATATGTGGGCCAATCACTCCAGAATCCTTCAGTGGAAAAAGGTACTTCATTTCTTTTATTGATGACTTCTCAAGAAAAAGCTGGGTTTACTTCCTGAAAGAAAAATCTGAAGCATTAGAGGTGTTCAAAAAGTTCAAAGTAATGGTGGAGAAGGCAACAGACAGACACATTAAAGCAATTTGATCTGACAGAGGAAGTGATTATACTTCGATGGCCTTTGTGAAGCACTGTGAAGAACAAGGCATAAGGAGATTCCTAACTGCACCCACTACAAGAAAATTGGCAGATTGCGACAGGTATTTTTGTAGATTACGACGGTTAAAACCGTCGCAATTTGCTTTCCACGACGGTTGCTTTACCGTCGCAGAAGTGTGTGTCCCCAACCTATTTCGCGACGGTTACAAAAACTGTCGTTCAAGTTTACGACGGGTTGATACCGTCGTGACTATCTTTTGAGTTTCTTTTAATTATTGATGGCGACGGTTCGATACTGTCGTGAATATCTTTTGAAATTGATTAAATTGTTTATGGCGACGGTTCGATACCGTCATGACTTTTGTTGATTACGACGGTTCGGTACTGTCGCCATGACTTTTGTTTATGTCTTGATTTTTTTTTATTTTTCTATTATATATATTTTTTATTTAAATTATTATCTATGTAAAAAATTTTAAATATAGTTTTTTTTTTGTGTTATTTTTTTCTTTCAATTATTTCTTCTTTAATATATTTATTTATAGTATTATTTTTTGTTTTATTTTCTATCACTTTGTAATATAGTAAAAATAATTTCAATAAAAAATATTTAACATCAAATAAGCATTATAATATCCAAAAAAATGTGTGTTCCATAATCATGTAAAATGCGAGTTCCATAATCATGTCAAGTAATACAAAAAACCCAAAATATATCAATTCCTAATCTTATAATAATAAGTATCATTATTCCAAAAATACATGAGAAAGTTCACAATCTAATTATCTCGATCATAGCAAAGTCTAATTTGTCCCCCCTGAAGTTCCATTATCTCCAATACGATAGCTAGACTCAGATGAACGTCTACCATCAGTGGGTGATTCCAATCCCTAAAAAAAGGTATTAAAATAATAATCTTTAAAATAATACTCATAAAATTTAACTTTAAATGCGTCAAATTAATATACCTGTCTTCCATTGGAATAGAGTTAGCAGTACCTCATGTAAAGGAAGGTTCAACCCAAGTTCAGACGAAGTTGATCGCAAATTGGAAAATCGTCGTAAATCCCTTTCGACTATACATGGAAGGATATATCCATCTATTTCATGAACCAACAATCAGCATTTCAAACAACTTCCAAATTTTCATCCAAGAGGTAGCATATACCAATTCTTGACTAAGACTAATGACATGACTCGGAGCACAAATTCTTGAGTTACAAGAATAAGCATTTGAAATTAGGTAAAGTTGCTTGGTTCTTGCTTTGAACTGGGTGAACTGCACAATTTGAATATCAAGAGAGAATGGACTTATTCCATATTGAAATATAGTCTCATTCTGCTTCCTAATAGTAGATCCACCAGTTGCAAAGTTTGCTCCATGTCTATAATTGGTTCCAAGTGAGTTGAGATAAGCACTTAAATATGGCAAGTTAGCCTTCTCAGCTGCACAATTTAGATAAATTGCTTAATAAGCATATATATGATATAAGTAAGAGATGAGATTAAATTTTGATATAGATTACCTATGAAATCAAGAATGACACGACCATCACTGTCTCTTCCAAAAGGTTTATGAAAAAAGCCTTCCCCGTATGGTGCAGGAATTGGTACAAATGCGGCTGATATGCCTCCAGTGTCAGAGTTAGAGTCTCCAAAGTTGTAAATTGCAGGAAAAGCACAAGAAAGTGATGATGAGTCTTTGAGTTCCACAAGGTTTACACAAGATAGGAAGAACACAGCAAACAGTATACTTAACCCCATTTTCAGATATATATTGCGAAGCTGTAACAAAGGTTATATATAGATAGAGATCCAAAACAAACCAAAAATTAAGTTATTTTTATAAGACAGGGACAATTTCGTAAATCTTAAATATTACTCTTTCTCACCGCTATTCACTTTTTATTTTTTGCACGTCTCTCTATGTTTTTTTTTATATATGCAACATCAGATTTAGAAACATCCAACACACAAGCCTCGGATGCATTAGTTGGGTTGACAATATCAAGTTGCATCATACCTTTAACAAGTTGCATCATACCTTTAACCATTGAAAGTGAATAGAGTTAAACAACTATTACACTGAACTAGGAGTATCATCTAGGAGAAATTTAAAATGTTCCGTGAGATATCTTCTAGACAAGTTCTATATTTCCAACAAAACCAAATTATGAATTATTAAAAAGAAATATAGTGTACATTATAGAATGATTAAAGGCATGTGATTTTGAAATACAGATTAGTTGTGTTACCAAACATAATAATTGAATAAGAAAATATGACATAAAGTCTTAAATTAGAGGGTTTAAAGAAATTAGTTGTGTTACACAATCATGCACCAGTTTAAAGGAAACAACTCAAGGTATATATCATCACCTCAGGTGTAAAGTATGT